AAACACATAATAGTAATTTGTCAAATAAGTATTGCATAATGCATCGAACTATTGAAGAATCGATCTAAATCATAATAGTGAATTTATGGCTCACCTAATCGCTGTAAAATAAAATTCCTTGTGTGAACATCAAGCCTTGTGCATCTTACAAACTTGTGTGCACAAGGTGCCACTTGGTTTGTATTACTTGGTGTAAATAATGTATGAACAGAGCTTTTATTTCACTTAGTTCATGTCAGTACTATTGCCTATTATTAGCTTAACTCTTTGTAACTTCGTATACTATAGTATAGCATGCATCTTTGCTTTGAAGTGAATATGAACAATTTACTGTACTGAAGATGCTCTCTGCCTACAATTACAAACTGACATACTAACCTCTGTGTTCTTCTTCTCTCCAGTTGCTCAGGGTTGATTTTGAAATATGGATAAAAAAGAATCATTTAATAGAATTTGCCAAAATAAAGTTTTCCTCTTGGAGACTTTATCTGTAGAAGCCGAAATCATCTTGCAGCATGTGCAGCAGGCTGAAATTATTACAAAACGCGACTACATGAACCTCTCAGATGTTCCTCAAAGAGAGAAGAGAGTCATCAACCTACTTGACAAACTCATGGGAAAGGGGGAGGAAGCTTGTCGTCGATTCATAGAACTTTTAAGACAGGATAGTATATTGGAAATGTTTCCAGAATTAAAGGATCATGCCGTTATTTCTTCTCCAGCCATGACTTCTCCAGTGCAGGAGGTGAAGTTCATATTTGAAAGATTCAGCCAGCTGTACTGTAAATGCGGCAGTCAGATATGTTCTGTTCCACTGATGTGCATATGTGCTTTTATTTCAGGTCTGTCAATACAACATAGCACAAATTCCACGTGGTACCTGTGTAATCATCAATAATGTACATTTTGCAACCTTAAAAGAAAGAATGGGATCAGATGTGGACCAAAGTTAGTTTTTTAAACATTTTTTTTTGTATGTTTTGTATTTAGTTACTTGGCATAAGATATTTTAATGGAATAGTTCACTCTAGAATGAAAGTTAGCTGAAAATGTACTCACCCTCAGGCCATTCAAGATATAGATGAGTTTGTTTCTTCAATCAAAACAGATTTGGAGAAATGTACCATTACATCACTTGTGCACCAATGGATCCTCTGCAGTGAATGGGTGCCGTCAGAATG